AGCCCGAGATAAAAATGTTCAGTCTCTCAGAGTCTCTGAAAGCGAGACTCGAGTCTCCGTCTCTCATCGAGTCTCTCTGGTGTCGCTCAGAGAGACTTTCGAGAGACTGTCAAAAAACTTTTTAGCGTCTTTCAACGAAAGACTCGAGTCGCTCATAGAGAGATCCTCATTTCGTATTTAGTCTCTGAACGAGAGACTCGAATCTTTCAATAAGTGGTGTCTCGATAGACATGGTTAAAATTTTCTAAGTTCAACATATTTCAGAGATCCCAGTCTCGAGTCTCTCAATGTTTCAGTTTTATTAATTCAGTCTCTCTGTAAGAGACTGGAATCTCTGAATTAATACTTTTATCGTTCGAGTCTCTCATACAGAGACTGTGAGAGATCCATAAAAACACCTAGGCAATAATTGAGAGACTGTCAAAAACTGTGAGAGATGCTCTCGGAGACACTGAAAGACTCTGAGAGACTGAAAATTTTTGTCTAGGGAGGTTAGAAATATCTTTGAAATACTATTGGTTGTTGTGTAGTAAAAAGTTGTTCTAAGCTGTAACCAATTCAGTCCCCAATAATAATCCAAGTTCAAATTCCTAAATTTATTCTTTATTGGCATCATTTTTTTTTACTTTTTGTGGACTTGAACCAACATTTTGGAGGCTATCAAAATCACAGTTTATAGACGTATGTTATTAGCACGCCTATCACAGAAAAAATTAAAAAAAAAAAGAATAGTCCATGGTACGCTACGATATTATTCCACGTTTAACATTTCCATAACAATTACATCAGGTGTTTCATCTATAAGTTGCATGCATTATTAAAAAGTGTGCCGAAGGTGAACCGTATTACAATTGTGTGTTACTAGGTTACTGTGATTGATTTTTGCATTTTAATAAGGAAGTATAATGTATTGGGATAAGAAATGAAATTGTTCTTAGACTGTGAAGCTCATGATATTCTAGAAATACTGGTAATAATTTATAGAAGTCAAACATTTCAGTAGGTATTTTAATTCTTAATAAACTACCTTTATTAAGAATAAATACTACTATCAATTAATTATTGATTATGCAATTCACACGAATCAACGAGAACAACTAGAAACATTCGTGTTTAACTTCAAATGTCTTCATGCACCAGATTTTGTCCAATTTTAATTTTATCATCTTTCTATTAAAATAGTAATCTTTGTCTATGATCATGAAGTGAAATAAGTTTAAACATTTCAGGAAGTTAATATTTATATCACACCTTTTACCTTAGTTACCTAATACCACATCTAAAAAAAGTCTTTCGGCGCGAAAATAAACTTTTAGTAGTAAGAATTAATTTTCGAAACGAAAGAGCATTATTTAGAAATTTAAATTTTAAAAGATCGATGAAAATCCTGAAGAATAAAGTGAATGATGCTGAAATAAAAAATTCTGCAAGTAATCCCTTCACTTCTACATGTTTAACCCTGTTTTATTTCATTACTCAACCATGTAATAATTCAGTTAAGTTGTAAATTGCTCTCTATTACAATAGTTTTTCCTTTCTAAAAATATGTAGGAAGGATCCCAAAGAGCAGCGATTACAAAAACCGAACGGTTATTCAAATCTTAACTACAACAATAACTACAATGCTGTCCTATCTTTTTGTAGTCTTGGCATCAGGAAACTCGACAATTATTTGCATTCAACTCCCGTCGACAACTTGGAAGATAGCACGTGCTTTGTTTAGACATCGTACTCTAAATGTCAGATCCACATTATACGAGGAATGTGTTTCCTCTTTTGAGTTCATGTGTGCTTGAAATTATCTACGGATTGCATAATTTATACTGTTTGCGAAACTAAAGGTGTAAATTCTTATATACTGGTGATACTCAGCTTTTGAAAAAAAAAANCACATCAACTCAAATTCGCTACTAGTTTTATTTAAAACATTCTAGTAGAACGGTAGTTCTTTAGCGCAGCTTCCGAGCGGTCTCCGGATAATTTTTTATCTTACGACTGCACAAAACACTCACCATTCGCCTGTAACACCACATTTCTAAGCTTTTATTTTCGCCGCTCCCACCGTCGATGTTTCGCACTCGTACAGCGCCGCGCTCCAAACACCTTTAACAATCTTTTTAGAATTTCTAAATTAATCGTTCGCGAGCATAGAAGTAACTCCTTTTTATTGAAGGCAACTTGACCCTGTGCTATCCTTACTACTCCTTCCGTCCTGACTTATCTGACTTCGTAGATACCTAAAGTCAACCACTTCTTTAAATCTTTCGTCTCCTATCTTTACATTCGCTCTTTCCCTACTTTTTCTTCCCTTACATGCCAGTATTTTTGTTTTACTTTTATTTATTTTCATACAGTACTATTTTGTCAATACTGTTCGATTTTATTTAATGCTATCTCTAACTCCTCCTTGCTGGATGCTAATACTGCTATATCATCTGCAAATCTAAGCAGACTAATCTTTTGTCACTCTATATCTATCCCTACTGTCTTTAATGATGTTGATCGCGTCTTGGACATATAAATTACAAAGTAGCTGACAGTGTGCATCCCTGCCTGACTCCCTTTCTAATATTTACTTCTCTACGTTGTATCCCTAGATCTATAACTGCCTGTTGCTCTTTATACAAACTAAGTATCACTCTTCTATCTTTGTAACTCATCCCTAAATTTTTAAGTATATTTAACATTTTGTCTCCTTTAACATTGTCAAAATCTTTATCTAAGTCTACAAATCCTATGTACGCGCACTTTCCTTTTTCGTTTATCTACTTAAATTAAGGTAATTATTGTTAATTTTAGTCTTTAATTGTTTTAGTCTGATTAACCAATTATAGGCTAAACGGCAAACGAATATAAGACATTTTTAAATAATTTTTAGATATGTGGGTTTTTGTTTTATTTTTCTTTCCGTTAAGTTATAACAGTTATATTTATCCTAATAATACGATAGCGAGTTTCTGCAGTTTGTCCGCTCCTGATTCATTCGAATTGTTTTTGCAAGTCCCAGATTATAGGGGATTTACCAATGTGAACGAAGGTGAACACCGCGGGGGAAGAGTAGTTGCAAATAAGTAGCCATCGAGGTCAGACGAACAAAAAGAGTAAAAATAAAAGAGGAAAGACGCGAGAAAGACGAAAGACGCGTAGAAGACGAAAGACGTACAAAAGACGGAAAGTCCTGAAAAAGACGATAAAGACGGAAGACGATAAAATCAATTGTATATTGATGTGCTGTTGTGACCAATAAGAAAAGTGTATCAGGATAGCTGTTCAATACTGTGGAAAACTCTAATTGTGCAAACGTTTATACTTTTTAATATTTTAATTTTATTCATTAAACACTTTCTAAAAATAGTGGAGCTGGATTCGTTTTTATTCACCCTAGACAACAACGGAAAAAAGCCTACAGATATATAAGTTTATGTAGGTGAACAAGGGAAACTGTGTAATGGATTGGTTTTTTTAACTTCCCAGATGTGCCAGTCAGGTATATATTAAGATCAGTAACCACCCTTCTTACTCCAACATAATGTCTTTAATTTTCTTGGTTTTCTGTATATATTACGCTAATACCTTTTTCCCCAAAAGTACAAATAAACTTCCCAGGAAAGTGTCAACACGTGCGTGAGTTTTTGTACAATAAAATTTAATCTCAGCATTTCGCGAGTATTAGCAATGAATTTAATATTAAAAACATGCTCGTATATTTCGTTCTTGCTTTTGAGGTTTCAGCGGTAAAAAGAGTTACCAATATGTAATTCCTGCACAATAAGAAAACAAGGACATTTTGTAAACACTCTCGCTTGGCAGGAATCTTTCGTTTGGTCGTTATTATTATTATTTTAACAAGCAATTAGTATGCAATTCCCCAGCAATTGAGGCACAACGATTTTCATTTCATCGTCGTTTGTGTTAGTTTCCTTAATTGGTTGATAAATGCGAAACACAGGAATGCAATATTTTTGCATTTACGCTTATGTACATACATACTACATATTTCATAACGGGAAAGCATGTATAAATACGTCAAATGAAACTGTGCAAGCTTAACCAATTGTTACCTAACTCTAAAATCCATAATATGTACCCGTGTGCATTTTTGACTTTATACCTTTAATTAACAATCGATTTTTTAATTATAATTCAAACTAATTTACTAATTGGAGTGGGTTTTCTTTACTACAAAGAGATTATTTAATTGTGATTTTGTACGAGAAAGACAAACTCAATTTTTAAAAATTCTGTTAAAATACTTTAAGGCCTCGTTTAGATTGACGCGCTTCATATGCGCGTTCGAAGAGCGATGACGCGAGTGAAAACGTATTCATGGCGGCCGTGTGTGCAGTGAAATTTCTTCTATTAGGCATATTAATTAGTATTTTTAACATGCTTCTACCATAATTTTCCCAATAGATACCCCTACCTCCTCATTTTTATATATTTTCATCATTCTGTTTCTAACCTTCCTTTGTTACTATTCTTTGTTGTAAATCTCTAACGTTTTTTGCATCTTCCGTTATCTGACTTCCTAATAGTCCTGCAGTAATCACACTTCTTCACACTCCTATCTACTTACAATCTAATTCTTCTCTGCAAGTTTTAAAACCAATTTCAAACTTCTAAGCGGTAAATTCAGTAAATGTACTTTATATGTCTCGTCGCAGTTTCAATCGATGTGGAGGTGCACGGTGCAGCTTCCATCTCCGACACAATAACAAAAATAATATGTCCATTACCTACGACTGGAAAGTTAGAAGTAATAGTTTCGAAAGTTGCAGCTTTGGAATGAATATTTGTCTCCGAACCGGCAATTTTCAAATAAATTCCTTTCTAAAAGTGTCAAATGGCTTCCTAGGTAGAAATTGCCACAGTGAAATAAAGTTCGGAAGCATTAAAGCACAAAAGCCCGGGTTGAAAAGCTTCTCTATTTAATTTTTGGTTGTCCACTTTTTTTATCCAATAGAAATTTACTCTATTCTGCATCAAGTTCATTGAATTTGGTTTTTTCTCTTTGAATTAATAAGAAGTTAGCAGAAAAACATCTGTAGGTACACCTTGGAAGAGCTGAAGAATGACCTCTAAGATACCTTGAAGGTCATTCTTCAACTGAAGAGGTTCTTAAGAGCCTCTGGATTGTCCTCATAGTGGACAGAGCCTGAAGAATGACCTCTAAGACATCTTGGAGGTCATTCTTCAGCTGAAGAAGTGCTTAAGAGCCCCTGGATTGTCCTCATAGTGGGCGGAGCCTGTGTGTATGTGTGTGTGTGTGTGTGTGTGTTTGTTCTCTTTTTCCTTTGCCTTGTCTATACGAAAATTATATCTAATATACAATTGCAATTAGCTAATAGCATTTTCTATGCATCACAAGATAGTTTTAATATTTGTGTGGTTTGTTGTGATTTTGCTGATAAAAATATATACTCTATGGAAATCAATAATAAAAAATAGGCGAAATAGGTTGGTAGAACAACTTCCCAGACATGAAGGTCTAATCAGAGATATATTAGAGGCAGAAACAGGAGTGAGGAGGGGTAGAGGTAGACCTAGATTAGATTACTGTTCACAAATAGTTAAGGATGTGGGTTGTTTTAGCTTTAGGGAAACGCAAAGATTAGCTCAGGATAGGAAAGAGTGGAGGTGCGTGTCCAACCAGTCTTAGGACTGACGACCTTATGATGATGATATTATTATTAGGAAGTATATGGGGAATAGGGTAAACATTATGTAAAAAGTATTGGATTAGAAGGAAAATGTTGTTTGATTCCACGCTTAGAAATATAGCTCTTTCGCCTTACCAACTAGACCGGAACGATTGCTGACAGAACGCCTACTTTTACTTACAACAGACGCTACAGGGAATATCGTAAGCATAGAAAAAAGATGTCAGGTGGGAATTGCAGCGGACACCGATAAAGAAAAAGGAATGACATTACATCAATTAGTGTGTAACAGAAAGAGATGCAGACAAGCGGAATTTGAGCATGTTGCCAGCATCGGACCTTAAAGAAAGTTCAACATCCTTGGGAATTTAGGAAAGCATTAACGTTTGTTTAAAGTTATAATTCCAACCAGGCAGTTATAGAGCCGGCCCTGACCTTTTACGTACCTAAGCAACCTCTAACCGCTGTACCGCTTACTATTACTTGATTTTCTCTTTTAATTTTGTCTGCACTACTCATGAAACATTTCCTAACTTAACAAGGGCCTGTTCAAAATGCAGCAAAATAAACTGCAGTCCCATGTGGAAACTAGAAAGAAAATACGTCGATTCTCACGGATAATTTATACCAGTTTGGATAGTCTCAACTATAGAATCAGTTTTACCTTGTACTTGCTGATTTAAGCTCCACGCCTAGTGGTACAAGGTTTGATTTTATTGTTAGTTGATTATATTTTTTGATGATATATAGAATCTGTGTACGGATACATAACTAAATCTTTTTTATATATTATTATACAGATCGGTAAGTAATTAGTAATTTTACGTTTACCGTATTCATAGTTTCATTTGATTTAGATACGCGACATTGATGTTTTTGCGATCTCTATTTTCCTCTTGTTTCTATTTTCTTCAATCGTATCAAACGTACGAGTTATTGCATTTGAAAACATAGGTACATAAGTCACTTGAGGCTTCATGACAGACACAAAAAGTGAAAAAAAGTGAAAAAAGAAGGATATGATTTTATTGTACCAAAGGTATACGTATTTAGTCTGAGTTACAAATTGGAAAAGAATATCTTCAATTTGTAAACGTATGCGATGAGTGTTTGTGAAGTAACAAAAGAATAAAATTCAATTGTTGATTCTCTATTTCAAAGACAACCTGTAATTTATCCGAAGAAAACAATTTGACTTTAATCCTGTTTCTAGCGACTTCTTGCTTCTCGTTATTAATTCTATCGTTCAGTGAACTTCAGCTGAAATAGCTGAAGTTCTTCTCGAACATTACGCGAACGTGCACCCTTGCTATAATGTACGTATATATCGAGTTCCTGTCTTACGTTCTACGTGCGGCAAATAGTCGTTCTTTATTGAGATTACGCCTTGGGGACGCATTCGAATTTTCGATTAACTGTCGTCAACCTTTAGTCAATTAAACATTCTGGCGTTGACATAAAATAACCTCTCCTTCTTACTTCGACTTTTGCTATAGATAAAAAAAAGCCTCTTCTTCGGTTTAGGTATTAAAACTGGACAAGATTGAAAAGGTTTTTTATATTGAGATGCATATATATATGGTACAGAGAAATTTACGTTATTTGCCGAACATTTTAAAGTAAATAGCGAAATAACACACTATTTAAGATAGTTTTTTTATTTTTATTTGTGAAAATTAGTCGGGCAGCTTACACAATTTGCAATTGTCTTTAATTGTAACGCGAGATAAAAATGTTCAGTCTCTCAGAGTCTCTGAAAGCGAGACTCGAGTCTCTCTGGTATCGCTGAGAGAGACTGTCAAAAAATCTGTTTAACATCTCTGAACGAGAGACTCGAGTCGCTCATAGAGAGATCCTCATTTCTGCGTTCAGTCTCTGAACGA